TATATATATATTAGTTTTGATTAAAATACAAGCTTACAAGTTTTCTTTCGTTTTTCATCTTTATTTTATTATCATAGTAGTAATTTAATCAAAAGTAATTTTTTCATAAAAAGTTAATTGCTCTTTATCAATAACATGAACATAAATGTTAATATTGATTTATATATGAAAGGTTACGGTTATGGTTACGATTCGGATATTTCATCAATTTGATGAGAAAATAATATGATCTTTTATAATATATTAATGGATACAAAATATGTTCAAAAGGGAAAGGAGAATAGTCAGAGAAGTTGGAAGGGTGAGAGGGGCTGATAAGAGAAATCGAGTCAAATGTGCTACGTGGAATCGTGAAAGTAAAGGCGTATTCCACTTTACCCATGAATTGGGATAGGTTACAAATTTAAAACAAATGAATGTTGCTTTTTACATTTATTTTTTTCATTTATTTAAATAAAGATATAACACAAATATCTATCAGTTATCGTGTTAAAAATAACAATATTGAAATAACGGTATAATTATTGTGTATATACGGCTGTCAAGCGAAGTATTGGTCTCTATGAATATGGAATCTCTTCAAAGAAAATTGATAGAGTATGGTCAGGAACATTTATTAAAGTTCTATGATGAATTATCAGATAAAGAAAAAAAGGAGCTTTGTCAAGATATATCTGAATTGAATTTCATAGATGTAATATCATATTTTGATAGTGCAATATATGCTTCTTTAAATATGAACACATTGGATGATAAGGTATCTCCCATTCCTAAAGAAAATATTGCATCTATTAAAACCACTGATAAGGAACAATTAAAAATGTATGAAGAATTGGGATTGCAAGAAATAGCAAATGGGCAAGTAGCTGTATTAGTAATGGCTGGTGGTCAAGGTACTAGACTAGGTGTAACTTATCCCAAAGGTATATACAATGTTGGTTTACCTTCTGGAAAAACACTTTTTCAACTACAGGCAGAAAAAATACTTCGTTTGGAAAATATGGCAAAGAAAAAGTATGAGAAAGATGGAGAAATTACGTGGTACATATTTTTACTCTACTTCATAGATTAAATAATTTAATACATAAGAGTTTATATTTTAAATAAAATAATAATTAATTTTTTTTCTTAGGTATATATTAACCAGTGAAGCTACTCATGATATAACAGTATCGTTTCTACATCAGCATAATTATTTTAATTTAAAAGAAAAAAATTGTAAAGCTTTTAAACAAGGTATGCTACCATGTTTCACATTGGATGGAAAAATTATTTTGGATAAAAAATATAAAATTTCGAAAGCCCCAGATGGAAATGGAGGAGTATATCGAGCTTTAATAACACAAGGAATATTGGATGATATGATACAACGTGGAATTCATAGTGTTCATGTTCATTCAGTTGATAATATCTTAATAAAAGTAGCAGATCCTATTTTTATTGGATACTGTTTATCTTTACAAACTGATTGTGGAGTTAAAGTTATAGAAAAATTTTCCCCAAATGAACCAGTGGGAATTGTATGTAAAGTGCGTAAAATATTTTTAATTATTCTTTACTTATTATTTCTTATATCATTTTATTTTATTATTATTATTGTATTGTTGTATTGTATTATTATTATTACAGGTTAATGATATATTCCAAGTTGTAGAATATAGTGAAATTTCAAAAGAAACAGCTGAATTGTATTCTGATGATGGACAATTAATATATAATGCAGCAAATATATGCAATCATTATTTCACTGTAGATTTTCTATATAGCATTGCTAAATATCATGAAAAAGAAATGGAACTTCATGCTGCTAAAAAAAAAATACCATATATTGATGAAGATGGAAACCGAAATGAACCAAAAATTCCTAATGGTATTAAAATTGAGAAATTCATATTTGATGTATTTAAATTCGCAAAACGTTTAACAGTTTGGGAAGGAATTCGTGAAGAAGATTTCAGTCCTCTAAAAAATGCAGATTCTGTTGGTCAAGATTGTCCAAGTACTGCACGAAATGATGTACTTAAACTTCATAAAAAGTGGTTGTTAAATGCAGGAGCTATATCTGTATCAGGTGATATAGAAATATCTCCTTTATTATCTTATGCTGGAGAAAATTTAAATCATATAAAAGGACAATTATTGGAAGGACCTTGTGTATTGGAATAATGAAATCTATTGTTTTCATAATTTTTTATGATAATGTTTTTGTTAAAAATTTTTTAATTTTTCAAAAAGTCTTCATAAAAATATATTTTTTAACATTCTGTGATTTAGTAATAAAATTTAACTATAAGAATTGTCAACATTCTTTAAATTTATAACAATAAATTTTATAACAATGATGCAGAAAATATGTAAATATGCTATTTATTAAAAATTATAAGATATGAATTTTATATATGTAAATAATTTTCATATGATTTCATATGAAAAATTATGATATTTGCAAAAATGTTTCAGTAATTTATAAAATTATCATAATATTTTCTCTAAAAATATGTAATTATAAAATTTTGAAAATTATGAAATATGATGAAAATATACAAAATATACATATATTTTAACATAATGTATTAAATATATCATTTTTGTACAATTGGTGTGGTATGTATAATAATAAAAATTAATAAGAAAATAATATTAATAAGTTTTATATATTTATATTTAATTCTTAAATAAAATTTGTTGTATCAATTATAATTTATATAATTTATATTAAATATTATTTAATATTTGCTATATTTTCATATTTTGATTTTCTTTGATATCTATATTTTAAAAAATGTATTTTTAAATATATAAGTAAAATATATAATATATATATTTTAAAATTAATAGATATATAAAAAAATATAGATGATATGATATGAACAATTTATTTTTTATTATTATAAAGTTTTTTCTTTAACCTTATATATATATAGGTTGGTATTAGCTACATTTGAATTTAAGCAACAGTTACAATTGATATAGTAAAACGCAAAAAAGTTTATAGTTACAAAAGTTATATTAAAAGTGAATTATATTTATTAATATGGACGAAATCTTCGAAATTTTAGATAATTGTTATTTAAATAACGATAAATGTGAAAAAACATCAACAAATATGATAGAAATTAATTGCATACAAAATTTAAAGAAAGAGATCGATAAATTATTTGCGAATATACGATGTAATTTAGGAAGTGTTGAATATACAAATCTTAATAAAATGTTAGCAAATTGTCATTTAAAGGTAAAATTATTGATTAATTTTATATTATGTATTATGAATTAAAAATATCTTCAAGTAATATAAAATTTGTTTACATAATTATAAATATTATTTTTAGACTGGTAATGAACTTGAAGCTATATTTCATTTAATTGAATCACATGCTGTAATTCTTCGACAACAAATATTGCACAGATATATAAAAACAGAAATGCGAAAATCAATTTTAAATGTACAACAAGCTTATGGGCTTAAATCTTCTTATGTTGGATTCAATATAAATAACAGAAATAAAATTGAAAATATAAAAACAATACTTTTTGATTTGCCCAAAGGTTAAAAATAATAAATATATTTTTTTTATTTAAACTTTATTAAATATATTAATTATTACAAATCTTTTTTTATATATAGAATGGTATATGATCCAAATTACTGGACAATATAGATCTCCAGATATTTTTACATATACTAGAAATAAATCGGATACAATGCATGAAATATATATTACTATATTACCAACAGGAAATAAAGAAGTAGAACCCTTATGTCTAGTATTACCAAAACCTAAGTTACATTCTTCGTATGATATTTGTTATGAAATTCAAAAATTACTTTCAAATAATAGATCAGAATTAGAAACTACATATGCAAATAATGAATTGTATTGGAAAATGAGAGAGAAACAAAATGCAAATATGAAGGTATTTAAATAAATAATATTAATAAATTTAACAATATTTTATATATATATATGTATATATAGATATTTGTATATATGTATATTTAAGACTGCTATGCATGCATTAGAACATATATGGTTACGAGAATGGAGAATCTTATTTATGGCAGATCCAATAAACAAACAAAACTTAGTAACAGATATTGTACAAATGATAGATAAACTTATAGCTGATTATAAAACTTCGTAAGTAAAGCATATTTTCATTTTTTTAATTTATCTTTTCTACATATATTACAGAAATCATATTATTGCAATATATTACAGAAAAGTGATATCAAAAAGATCTAAGTGGTTATTAAAAAAAATAGCATTAGCAGCATGTTTTCTTACAAAAGAAGAAATAGCACGTGCTGTAAAATATGTACTTTCTGATTATGATAAACTTGCAGATAGTATTATACTATCTATATTTGGAAAATTATCTTGTATGCAAGAGTTAAAAAATGCAACTAGGAAAACATTAGTTTTAATAATTGATGAAGTAAACTTAATAACATAAATATAATATTATATATATATATACATATAATGTTGTGTTTCAGCAATATAAAATTCACAATTTCTTATATATTCTCTAATTATTTTATAGCATATGGATTATATACCTTTTGAATCTATGGAAATTTTAAAATTCCATCCAATTACACGCTTTCCATCATTGCACATTGCATATGCTTTATTTAAAGAACATGAAAGTACAATGGAAAATGGCTGTAAAATAATTCGAGTAAAAGATGATATGGGTACATGTATAGTTAATCCTTCAGGTAACTTATCAAAAATGGAAAAACGCATGAGATTATTTATTGAATATTGGCTACCAAATTGGAGGAGTTGGTACAATATTGAACCACAGGAAGAAGTTTTTGAAGATTCATTAATTAATCGAGATATATTAATGTATATATAATTTTATTTTTTATATATTATATTTTATTCAAATATAATATATTTATGATATATTATTTTCATAGGTATAATGGTCATGGAAATGGAATACAATACTTACCAGGAGAACAAATAGAAAGACTTAAAGTAAAATCAATTGTTTTATTATTTGGTTGTAGCAGTGTAAAATTACTTAATATAGGAGGACGTTATCCACCATATGGAATTTCAAATCAATATTTAATAGCAAGCAGGTAAAAGTAAAATTATTTTTATTACTTTTATATACTATATCAATTTTATATTTCATGTATTATATTTTATTTTTAGTCCTTGTATACTTGGTATGTTATGGGAAGTTACAGATGCTGATACTGATAAAATGACAACAAATTTCATCAGTAATTGGATTCCATCACCATTAAATAGACCATGGACTGATGTTGATATTAATATGTGGTGTTTGGGTATTTTAAGTTAGTATAAAAAATTATAAATTATCTTCTTAATTATTTTTATTGTTTAAATTCTTTTTATAAATTTGTTTTTTCTTTTAATTTCTGATAATTAGAATTTCTAAAGAATTCACATAAAAGCTCTCAGAACTTAACTATAGAACCTGAGATGTTGAGAGCAGTTGCAAAATCTAAAGATGTTTGTTCTCATTATATGACGGCGGCTGCAATAATAGTACGAGGATTGCCAATAAAGCTTATTTGAATTGTAAATGTAAAAAAAAATATAAACGAATATATAATAAACATCAATTTATATGCGATTAAAAAAGCGGATAAAAAGTTTATTTATAAAACGTTTCATAATTTGGTCATTTATCATGTTCAATGTGTATTTTAAGATATTATTTTTGGTCACATGATTATTTGTGGTTCTGGTACAGAACTGGAAATATTCTTGTGAGGTAAAACTTGACCACCATTGATATATAACTCATCCTTAACGATTACATCTTCACCAAGTACTGTAGTACCTTCCATTCGTACCCAACGTCCTACAACGCTTCTCCAGCCTACAATGCACCTATAATAATATTAACATTGCATTATAAATATATTAAAAAATGAATGATGATCTTTTTAAGATATACTTTCATATATGCAACTCTTTTAATTTTCATATTCATTTTTTATGTATATATGTATAATAAATTTATAGATTTATTTATTTCTGATTGACAAAAATAATTATTTGTCTTTACTTAAAGGGTTAATATTAATATGCTATCACATAAAAAATTCAGAAATTATTTTAACATTTACCCATCTAACCATGCATGTTCTTTTATTATAGCTGCCTTAAGAATAGTACTTCTTTTAATGCAACAACCATCGGATAAAACAACACCAGGACCAATTGTAACATTGGGTCCTATTCTACAATCTTTGCCAATCTTTGCTGTTTCATCTATTAAAACATTTCCTACTACTCCTGGACCAGAATATAATTTTGCTGGAGATTTTTGTCTTAAAGATGTCAGGTACATGCTCATTCCTTTAAGAAAATCTTTTGGTTGTCCAACATCCATCCAAAATCCTGTTAGTTCCATTGCATATAATTCTCCATCGCGAGCCATATTCGGAAAAATTTCTTTTTCTATACTTGTTGGTTTCAATTCTATTCTTTTTAAGACACTTGGATTTAAAATATACATGCCTATAAAATTATATTTATATTTTAAAATGTTAAGACTAATACGTTATAATAAAATAAATAAATATTTGCCTGCATTAATTTTATTTGAATAAATTCTTGCGGCTTTTCTACAAAATTTTCTATTTTTCCATCATCTCCATATACTACTACACCATACTTTGACGGTTCTTCTACTTTAGTTACAATTATAGTACCTTCTCTACCATGACTTTTATGAAATTCTAAAAGTTGCATAAATGGAAAGTCACAAATAATATCAGAATTTAAAACAAAAAATGGTTCATCTCCTGAACATAATAGATCATGTACAAGTGCAAGTGGTCCTGCAGTGCCAAGTGGTTCTGGTTCATGTGAAAAAATCAAATGAACTCCTAATTTTTTAACTTCTTCATTTAAATCTCTTTCCATTTCTTCTGCCCGATAAGATACAGCTAATATCACTTCTGTCACATTTGTCTCTACCTAAATAATGTATTATAATATTAATTTATAGAAAATAAAAATAACACAAAAATATTACAACATACCAGAGCTTCTATTTGATGTAAAAGCATTGGTTTATTAGCAAATTCAACTAATGGTTTTGGTCGACTTAATGTTAAGGGTCTTAATCTAGTTCCATATCCACCAACAAGAATTACAGCTCTCATTGTTTCAAATTTTTTTCTTTTTCGTTGCATTACCTTTCAATTATCTTGGTTAAAATGTATTCATAGTAGAACATTCATATATATTTTTATTCATATATATAATTTTATTCTAAAAGAAGCATTAAAAATAAGATTTGAAAATAACATAAAAAAATATAAAAAAATAAATGAAAATATATGGCTGTTATTGTATTTTTTAATTATATATATATATATATATATATATATATATATATA